CGTACCGTTGACTTCAAGTTAGACATCCCGTCGAAGACGAGCCGATCGTTGAACGCCTGGCGGACGGCGTCGTTGAAGAGCAGGCCTTTGCGCACCACTCGGGCCTCGACCTCAGGCTCGAAGTCCAAGCGATAGTCATAGACGACGGCATTGGACGGCGTTTTGAGGCGAAAATAATTGGTCACAACTGTCACGGCTTTGCCACCGGCGCCCACCGTTGAGCGCACCTGAGGGGGTCGGGTCACCGCCACTGACCGATACCCCGCTCTACTCCGCACAGCCGCCCCATTGCTACCACCATTGCCACCGTTATCACCGCCAGCGCTTCCCACCGGTGACGGCAGTGTCTGTTGCAGTGAACTCACGTCCAATGGTCTGGTGGTCGGCAGTGGCGGCGGTTCGTGACCCACACCGACGGCAGCCCTTCCCCGCGCCCGACCCCTCGACCGACCCGTATCTGCCATCACCTGTCGATCGCAGAGACAAACAAATGAATTGATTTCATAGAAAGTCTGTTTGTGTGGACAACTTATCGCCAGAAAAGAGTTATCATAAGAGATAGCGTCCAACGAATCAATGCTTACTTTCAATGACACCGATGGCTGGGATATAGCGGCCAATAAATGCGGTTAATTTGGTCGGACGTGCGATACTCACGGGTTTGAATGAGTGATAGACTTACGTTACTGTATGAGCATATGAGCAAGCACAATGTAATTGAATAGCTCAATCAACACAATGTCAACACATTCCTGTCTCGCAAACTCTGACATCTATTGCATGGTTTGGTTTGGGGTCTAAAAGTTTTGTCAACTTTTTCATGAAGTCTTTTTTTGGGAACAAATTCAGTGATCACTCACTATATCACACAAATTGTATACACGCTCTTAGCACCGTTGCCCACATGATAGCTAGTGTTCAGGGACAGCCTATTATTATACTGTATCGCCAACTAATAGTACTATTATAGTTAACCAATTGTTAGTGTACTTCACATTTAGTGAACAATTTAGTGCACAATATTTAATCGCATTTTATATTTGTTGGCATTAATTGAAAACATTTTATAAATTACAAAACAAAACATCGACTCATATGTACAGTGAGAACACAACTAATAACAGAAAAACAACTAAATTATAAATTATTATACAATTAAAAGTACAATAAAAACAAACAATTA